CCCAGAGTTCCTCAGCCAGCTTTGTGGGCTGAGGACCTCTGGGAGTTGAAGTCCACAAGTCTTAAAGTTGCCAAGATTGGAGACCACTGATCTATTCCATTGTTCAATGAATGTGTGCTAATCCTTATTAATTCAGGGTTCAAGGAGGGAATTAAAATAAGCCCCCTGTGCTCCAACGGCTCCAAAATTGCTCCCTGTCTTGTATAGGTCTCCTGCATAAGCAGGGGGTTGGACTAGATGATCTCTAAAATCCCTTCCAACTCTTGTTACTTTTTTTTTTTGTAAAGGGTCAAATCGTGGTCTGTCCTTCGAACCTTACCTAGCCATCATTTGTTCTTGCAGCCCCTCTATGGTCTTCTCCATCCTGGTCTTGATCCGATCTGTTTAAAAACGGGAAAACAGAGGGGTGGGGGGAAGTTTAGTTCGCCTTTTTTTTGCAGAGGAGAACAGCAAGCTTTCTTTCCCTTTCCAGAGACTTTCGGTGGAGCAAAAGAACTCGGGTTCGAGTCTGACAGGTGCCATTTCCGAATCTGGAAAGAGGTCCTCTGAGCATACGCAGAGCGCGCGGCTCAAAAATGCCCTCGGCGCCCTCTTTCCGGGAGGGGAGGGGGTCCAAGAGCTCACCTGGAGGGGCTTCTCAGGACTCTCCCATCCACCTGCGGATCCCCGCGGCTCTAGTCACGCAGGCGGGGAAGACGCCTCGCATCTCGGATGCCCTCCCGCCGCGGCTGCCGCCTTTCGTGGCCACGCCCCCTTCGGCCCGGGCGGCAGTTGCCGGCGGGGCCGGCAGGCTTCTCCCGTTGCTAAGGCGACGGGGCAAGCCGGGGGAACCCCCGAGGGGGCGGAGCCAAAACAGACGCCGCTCACGTCAGGGCCGCTGGATTCATAGAATCTCCATAGGTAGAAAAGTCGCCTAATATTGCTGCACCATCCGTTGCGAGTCCCCGTCGCCTCTTTCCTGCCCCCCCCCCGTCCTCTTTGAGAGTCCGAGAGTGGGAGGGGCTACTACAAGTAGTCCTCGACTTACGACCGCAACGGAGCCCAACATTTCCGTGGCTAAGCGAAGCCTTTCTTGAGTTTTGCTCCGCTTTGCGACCTTCCTTGCCTCCGTTGTTAAGGGAATCGCTGCGCCGGTTGTGAAGTCAGCCTCGCTTCCCCCATTGACTTTGCTTGTCAGAAGGCCGCAAAAAGGGGGAGGGTGGGTGTCGCGTAACCTGGGGACGCAGCAACGGTCATAAATAGGAACCCATGGCCAAGCCTCTGAATTTAGATCCCACGATCAATGGGGATGCTGCGAAGGTCGTAACTGTGAAAAACGGCCATAAGTCACTTTTTTCAGTGCCGTTGTAACTTTGAATGGTCACTGAATGAATTATTGTAAGTCGAGGACTACCTGGATCGTCACTGGAGGAAGCGCAAAACAACTCTGGATTTACAAAGAGTCCTCGACTTACAGCAATTCATTTAGTGACCGTTTGAAGTGACTTACATACATCGGATGCTTGAGTACTGATTTAAGTTTATGACGGTTGCTATGCCCCGGACTTACGTGATCTCCTTTTGCGACCTTCTGACAAGCAAAATCAATGGGGAAAACCAGATTCACTAAAACAAAAGTGTTACTAATTTAAGAACTGCTGTGATTCACTTAACAAATGGGGTGGGGAAAAGTCATTAAATGGGGTAAAATTCACTGAACAATTTTCTCACTTAGCAACATAAATATTGGGCTAAATTCGGAAAGGATACAAAGGATATAACAACAACAACAACAGTAACAACATCTAAAGCAGGGGTCTTCAAACTTGGCAACTTTAAGACTTGTGGACTTCAACTCCCAGAATTCTCCAGCCATTCTCTCCCAGAGAATTCTGGGAGTTGAAGTCCACAAGTCTTAAAGTTGCCAAGTTTGAAGACCCCTGATCTAAAGCAATAGATAAAAATATTATTGTCAGGAATGATTGCAGAAATAATAGCATTGCTCATCTCAGCTCAGTTATCTTTATTTATGAAACAAATTTATATCGCCATCCATCGTAGCAGAAGGGAGTCCGGAGTCCGGAAAGCAAACGAGATACAATATAATTTTGAAGAAGTCAACATTTAAAATAGCATGGAGGGCTGCTTAAAACTCGCCTTCAGAAATCGGAGGTGCTTCCACAGTCCTCACTATTAGGAAGTTTCTCCTTACTTCCAAGTTGCTTCTCTCCTTGATTAGTTTCCATCCATTGCTTCTTGTCCTGCCCGCAGGTGCTTTGGAAAATAAGTTGAAACCCCCCCCCCCGCTCTTTTTTATGGCCACCCCTCAAATACTGGACTCTCTGCCATGAACTCAGTAACAACTGTTCACAGTCACAACAGACTCAGAAGGGGTTGTTTATGGTCTGTGGTGGGAGGCTTATGTTGATTTCTCACTCTCACAAATTAAATTATTAATTTTAAATTGTTAATTTTAATTTCATCTTAAATTTGATTTAAATTGTCCATTGAAGGTTATTGGATTTCCTATTTAATCTTTTTTAACTTTTTCATATGTGTTTTTATGTTGTACGCCACCCTGAGTCCTTTGGAAGAAGGGTGGCGTATAAGTCCAATAAAACCAAACCAAACCAAACTCTTCCCTGCCTGGAGACCCAGGCTCTCTCCCTGGTGCTCCACTTAATGACTGCAACTGGGAGAATCAGGATTGCTGTCCATGAGCAAAGCAGTCATGTGACACCTTGCTTAAGAACCCCCTGGCTCAATGATCAAGATTCCTAGGTCAATTGTGGTCATCAGTGGATGACTACCTGTATAAACCAACTTGTTTGCAAAAGACTAGATCAGTTGCTGGCTGGGGAATTCTGAGAACTGAAGTCTATTCATCTCAAAGTTGCCAAGGTTGAAAAATACTGGGCTAAATCTCCATGAGTTCTGCAAACATAGTCAACTTTAAGCAAACTTGGCCAAATCCGCTTTAGTTTTCCTGTTGTGACCAGGCCATCTGACCTGTGAAAATGTAATAACAATATCATTTAGACTTCCCAGTGCTTTACGGCACTTTCTAATCGGTATATGGTCAGCATCTTGCCTCCAACAATCTGGAGCCTCATTTTACTGACCTTGGAAGGATGGAAGGATGAGTCAACCTTGAGCTGGCGGGAACGAAACTGCCGAACTGATGGCAGCCGGCAGTCAGCAGAATTAGCCTGCTATACTGCATTCTAACCACTGCGCCAGCACAGCTTTTGACATCATAAGAAAGAAAGGAAATGGTAATTCTCTGTGGATTGAGAATTAGCTTCTGATTTTGTGGCTGACAAAATAAAAGGATATTTATTTATTTATATCAGATTTGCATGGCCTCTCACCTCACAAATTGTAGCATACAGCAATCAAACAACAACAAAAATAAAATAATTACACAATAATTAAATGAAATGATTACACAATAATTAAAAGCGTTCCAGACTGCCACAATCCCAAGGTACCAAAATAGTTGAGCAGTGGAGACTATTTTTGCTTTCTTGCATTGAGATCAGTGGTGAAATTCAATTTTTACTACTGGTTCTGTCCGCGTGGCTTGGTGGGCTTGGCAGGGGAAGGTTGCTGCAAAATCCCCATTCCCTCCCCACTCCTGGGGGGAAGGATATTGCAAAATCTCCATTCCCACCCCACTCCGGGGCCAGACAGAGGTGGTATTTGCCGGTTCTCTGAACTACTCCAAATTCCGGTTTTCCAGAACCTGTCAGAACCTGCCGAATTTCACCCCTGATTGAGATCTGTAATCAAGAACGCTGATTATAGCAATAAAGAGAGATGGATGTAAGGTTTGGGATTCGGTTGGGTGGAGGCATTGTGCTGTTTTCTTGACAGTTGCCATTGCATTGAAATTGCTCATCTCTTAATAAACACCAGTTTCAGATCTACAAAGGAGAAGGGAATATATTTGACAGATATAAATTCTATTTTATTGCACTTTATACAAAGTCAGCACAATCGACTTCAAAGCAGCTGGGCGGATCTGCCAGGGAGGCAGGCAGTGAAGGGTAGCAATTGTTGACACATGCACAAGGATGCAATCGCACAAATACCGCACTGGAGTCAGATTTTCCATGCAGGCGTATAGTGCAGGAACAGCCCTGTCAAATGAAAGAAGTCAGGGGCCAGGATAGAGTTCAAAAGTACAAGGAGTCCTTGACTTACAACCGTTTGCTTAGTTGGCCGTTTGAAGTTAGAACGGCACTGAAAAAAAGTGACTTATGACTGCTTTTCACACTTATGACCATTGCAGCATCCCTGTGGTCGAGTGATTTAATTTGGCTTAAAGTTCAAATACTTGGCAATGCTGGGTTCATATTTTTCATGTTTTGTCTGAAATGGTATAGGATTTCCTGCCTGAGCAGGGGGTTGGACTAGAAGACCTCCAAGGTCCCTTCCAACACTGTTATTCTATTCTATTCCTTTTCTACTCTACTCTACTCTACTCTACTCTACTCTACTCTACTCTACTCTACTCTACTCTAC